TTACAAAACTTATAAGCAATTAAAAATTTCTATTAGAATTACACCACTCATAAAAGTTAACCGGTACTCCAAGAACTGAGCCCATTATTTCTGAATAAAAATCAGAAATATTTTAGCTAATGATAAAATTTGGTTTCTTTTCCCACAACACTTTGGAAATAATCAGATTATAACCAAAAACTTTCTCAAAACTTGGTTTACTACCATTTTGGGAATAAAAATATTTAAACCCAAAGAGTTCCTCTAACCACAAAGGTTTTAAACCAAATCCATCTTAGTTTTTGGGAATAATAAAATTAATCTCAAAGACTTTCTTTAAACCCGAAGGTTTATAATTTCTTTCCTTTCCCATTTCCTTTCACTATGGTGAAACTATTACAAATTAGAAATTAAAACTACCACAAAAGGAGATGCAACTGTTACAATTACAAATTATCTAAATCTGCAAAATTAAAGTTCATGGCTACATCTGAAACGGTTTGTTTAGCCAAGAACATACTTCTCCACTTGAAACCATCCAATCGGATTGCCAGTTTATCTTTGTTTAAAATACAATATAAAAAATAAACTCAATGCTCTATTCCATGTAAAAGTGATGTATACAAAACTTTATCCATATTGTCGCTAAACCTCCATATTCACTGTTTATATACACGCTTGGATACAAAATAAGTTAATAAACCAATAACTTATATAATGCATATTACATAAGTAATTTAAATTATCACTCACATTAAGTAATTCAAGCAACTATAGATGTATTGCAGTTATAAGAATGTCATAAGTTTCATAGCTATGAAATAATTACATATATAGGACTATTATGATCATAACATTGGCATTCCAACCATCTAACTATGAGCAAATAATCTTATAAACAATAGAGTTAAGTTCTAACAATACAGAATAATTTTTGGAGTAATTCACTTGATTGTACACATCAAGACATGGAAAAACTCACAACCAATACAACAATTAATTAATAGAATGAATACATAGTAAAGACATTATAATGCAAAATATTCCACCATGCACTAATACTCTCGTAGAACCCATCCACCTTATAATGCAACATAAATATTATATTAGAAAAACCGAAACTGTTTTGCTATATTTTCTCCCAAAACAAACCTGTTTAGAGATTTTTATACCGTTAGAAACCTCTCGACTAGCCGAATCTCTTGAAATTCTCAAAACAAAAAAAAATCCAACTCTTTATTTTTTTTCAGAATTTAATTAATCAAATTAAATCGAAATTGTTACCAAACTTTCAAAACAACATACGAAATAAATCTGAAATTAACCTGAACTATAAAGTGAATAATTAAATTTACAAATATGTCCAAAAATCTAAAGATCCAAAATTCTCATCCATGCTTAGGTTTCCCTGTTCAAAACAAAAATTAGTAGTCTCATTTACTAATTCCAATTTGTTTTATTTGTTCATATTATACATCCTTCTTTCGCGTTTAGGTAAACTTGTAGAGAAAGTTAAGTATAAAAGAAAACTAATAACAAACAAATCAAATAAATTAGTACGAATCTTAAGAAATAAAATTCTTACTTTATCTTATCAATACTTAGTAAATCATGTACTAACAATTAAATCACTTATGCAATAACAACTAATTAACATAAAATAAATTACATGAATAAATTACTTGAAACAAACAATTCAAATTCCAATAACTCTAGACAATTAAATTAATTTTAATTCTAAGAGTCACTAGAATAAAATTATAACAAAAACTAAATTGTTTTATCAAAACTATTTATAATAAATCTGTTTTAAGATTGTTGGTATTTTTTTTATGAACATATTACAAGATGGATTCTAATGGACAGATAAAATAATGTACAAGAAATTATTTAAATTTAAAACTTTGAAGAACAAAAGATAAAGGATACAAACCGAAGCCTGTATGATACCACAGTTTCCTTAAAACAGATTCACTGACTCCTGGTGGGTGCTGGAAGTACGCTGGCGTCTATTTCCCAAGATATGACGATCGAAACCAGCTAATGCAGAAGCACCATCTGAATAGTTTCAGCGAACTTGACAATAGCTGCACCCTCTCTAACAAGAACCAAAGAAAGGACTAGCAAAAGAAGATAGGAAAAATTTTCTTTGGTGTAAAATAAACATCTCCAACTTTTTATCTCAAAACACCACCTTCATTTTTCATCAAAAATCTCTCTAAAAAACTTTTTTCCAAGTTGGAGGGGAAAGGCCTCTATTTATACAAGTAGGAGAATCCCTAACCATGACGGCTATACATCAGTAGGGCCATCAAATGCCATTAACCAAGGCCATCAACTCTAGCCATTATGACTAGAATTACAAAGATTGAAAACCTATGGCCACTAATATGATCATCAACTTCATAATCAAAGGATAAGAGTTACAAAGGTCTAAACCTCCCATGTACTTAATAGATACAAATATATATATATATATATATATAATGATGTTTGAATAAACCAACTAGATGGGTCACAAAATGTATACTAATGTTGGGTCACAACCCGATCTAAACCCAATTCTCAAACACATGCACAAGCTAAGGCCAACACAACATAGCTTAGCCCAAGCTTAAGATTAAGTTGAAGTCTAAGTCCAAGACCAAACCCAACACATGCACAAGCACAAGCACAAGTCTAGGCCCAATCCAAATTAAGTTTAAGTCTAAATCTAAGCCCAACTTTATTGATGCCCACTTTATGAGACAATTATCATTCACAACTCAATGGTTTCGGCTCATTATTTTTATATTATAATCTTCTCACTTAAGAGAATACAAAACCACTCAAATCCACCTCAACCGGCGGTTGGGTCTCACATTAATTTTGAATTAAAGTTGCTGAAAAATCATTATTTTTCAACAATTATATTATTGTCATAATTTAACAGTAAAAAAATAAGTTCTAATAGTTGGTTAGGGCAACTGTTAAATTTGACAAATATTAAAATTTATGTCAAATTTGATACAAGTTTTAACAGATTTCATAATTGTCAACTCATCAAGTAAAACATTGTTGTATAAATTATGTGATAACATAAAACAAATAGATTCATATGGAACAAACAATTGAAAATTCATAAACAAGAACATGGTGGAATTTACAGAAATTCATAATAAAATAAAATGAGCAAAAGGAAGCAAGTCGAAACCTGCACTAGACAGTGTCCTTAAAACAGATTCGTCGCCTCACCGGTTGGGTATTGGAGATTGTTCGACGTCTGTCTCCCAAGATACGACGGTTGGACCAGCTGCGCAATGCACCGATTGAATAGCTTTGGCGATCAGAAGTTTGCAGCACCCTCTCACAAGAAGAATATAAAACTTGGAGAAAAAATTCTGAACACACAAAGATGGTAAAAATTTCTTGTGTTGAAGAATGAAGGAGAGGGTCTCCTTTTATACACATGGAGGGAAAGAGAGGAAAAGACTCTTGCAACAAATTCAAGAGATTTAATTTTGCAAAACTCTCAATTGATGACAAGACTTAATTTTGCAAAACTCCCAATTGATGGCAAGAATTGATGGCTTTAATCCATCATCATTATAGGGGAGTTGCACCCATTTTATACACATGTATAATGTGTATAAGTCTGCAGCCACCTTTTCCAACACCTCATTCATGAGGCCAACTTAATGAGTCAAGTACTCATTCAAATCTTAACAGTTTTTTGTCATTCTCTTTGTTGTGTAAAGATTTCATTATAAAGAATCTAAACTCACTTTAATCCACCTCAATTAAGGACTGGCACCTGCTTTAATATTGCATTAAAGTCACCAAAAAATCATTATTTTTTCAACAAACATCCCTTCCTTCCTTTTTCCCTCTCTTTCGTCGACCAGTCGTCCCGAATACACCAATTTTTGTGTTTGGTTCTGTTAAAATGGCAACTGACCATGAGAGCACTATTGCTATAATTCTATCATTTTATACTATTCATTGTCATAATTTGACAATAACAATACTATTATAGCATATATCATTGGAGATGCCCTCATAAAAGTTTAGCAAAAGTTTAAGCGTCTGGGTAAACATTGCTTATGGGTGTGTTTGGAATATTAATTTAAATATAAATTTTAAAAGGATTATGTTTTAGATAATTAAAAAGGAATTTTCATTCAAATAGTTTAGTTAAAAAATCATAATATAAAAAAATTAATTCATTCTTTCAATTTTTATTTATAAAAAAAAATTAAAAATCACAATTCTCAAATGAACCCTTAATGAAAAATATACTCTGAATCTACAAGAAGTCTTTAGTTTGATAGTATGGTTGTTGTTTCACTAGAGTTGCAAATAATTGAATTGTTTGCTAGCTGCCTCGACTCAGCTTGGCTTGACTCAGCTCGTTTAGTAAATAAGTTGAATTCGCGCTCAAGTATTAGACTCATCACTGCTATAAAAAGAGTTAAAGATCACACATTGACAAATAAAAATATCTCATTTTTATTGAAAGTGTGATAAAAAAAAATTAGATTGATATTTTAATTACACTTAATTTGATTAAATGTGATAATATTTATTTTTTATGTCACTTTTCAATTAAGTGCGAGACTATATATACTTTTTAATCACACCTTCTAATTAACATGTGATTAAAAATCACATAAGAAAAATTAAAAATATCTCACTTTTATTAAAAGTGTAATTAAAAAATTAAAATAATTTTTTAATCACACTTAATTTAATGAGTGAGATAATATTTTTTTATCATACATTTTAAATAAATGTGATTATATATATTTACAAAAATGATTTAGACCTCTAAAAGAAGAACTCTAATAAAGCACTAATTTATCTTTTTCTTCCCTCTTTTTTATTTTTTACTTCACTATTTTTTTTTATTATTTTATTATTTGACAGCTCATTAGAATTGTCTTTTTACAGCTCTAATTAGAACTCCGGAGCCTTACCCATATATTTATACAAATCCAAATCCCAGCCTAACGTAACCACCATAACCTTATATATATTATACTAGTCTAAACCCCAACCTAACACACTCCCTTACTCTCTCTCTCTCACGCTTCTCTCTCTTTATCTCTTCCGCCTCCTACGTCGTCGCCTCTGGTGCCGCCATCGGCGACCACCACTGCCGTCGCCTCCACCTCCTCCCTCACTGCCCCTCTCTCTCTTCTCCTGTTCTCTTCACCTATCTTCACCAGTCGTCTACTTCGTCTTCTCCACTCTCGTCGTCAGTTCAAGCTTTGTCGGTTCGTCTCCATTGTCGTCGGGTAACAAGCATCGCCGTCGGCGCACAAGAGCACCACCGTCGCAACACCGTCGATCCATCACCCCAAGTATCTCTCTCTCTCTCTCGCCCTCTCCCTGTCTCTCTGTCTCCCTCTCTGTATCTCCCACCAACTGGGGATTCTTATGGTACACAAACTCAAATCAAGCATTCCCTCTCATTCCCCTTGTCGAACCCCCTTGTCATTTGTTTATGTCATAAAGCTTGGTGCTGACTGAGGCTTGTTGATTGTTATAACCTGTTTTTGCTAGTGTATATGATATTATATATATATATATATATATTGGTGTGCAACTAGGTCGATTTAGATTTATCTGGGTTCGGTTTGCTTTGTACCTATGAATTATCTCTTTCCTTTCCTCTGCACTTTGAAATTAGCTTCCTCCATGAATGAGCTTTCTGTAGCTAATGGTCTTGATGATAACCTCTGGTTTGCTTGGTTTAATTTGATTTTCTGAACAACAATTAGGCAAAAAATATGAATTGACACTGAAAATCTATTAGCAGGAGTATGACTTGCTAGTATAGCATTGTAAAACTAGAGTGCATAAAACAAGGCTTATTCATTATTCTTCATCAATTTCCAATGTCATAGGTATCTCAGGCGCACATGCCTCCAATGTCATAGGTTTCTCAGTTGGAAGGGAGATGGTTTTGACCTGTAAGAAGGACAAATTGAATAAACGACATGTTTTCTGCCCCAAACCCAAATTTATATCCAATCAGTGATGACTTATGAAACATAGACATGAACTTGGGACATGAAACAACTAGGCAAGAAAACACAGGCTGGGTGGATCCTAAAATCTACACTACATGGCAACAAGTTGGGGTGTGGATGTGTGTGCATGCTATAACAGCAGCCGAGTGTCTAAAATTATTAAAATTACTTTGAAACTATGAGACAGGATTGCTTGTGGAGTATGCTAACTACTTGATGACACAAAATGGGTCAAATCAAACAATAAGGTCAGACAGACTAAAATAGTAATCTGTCAATACAGTAAAAAGACTTTTTATCAACTTACCTTGTCCCAATTCTCTTCAATTTCAATGCCTCCACATTCTGAAAAGCTAACGGTACAAGTATTTAACACATCAGATGGAAGACCATTTATAATGTCAACTCTTACTTAGCTGTATAGTATGTTGGGAAGAAAAATGGAATAATGTGATACTGTGACGGACAACAGAAACTTTGGAACATAATTTAGTGCTGGGATTGCCAATTAAAGAGCACCATGTAAGCCAAGTAGTTGTTTAGAAAATCTAACATCTAACTTGTTAGTAGAGTGGACATTTTCTATATTTAGTTGAACAATTTCCGTAGTTTTTAAAAATTTCTTGGACATTCGAACATTTTTTTTCCCTATAAATAAGTACAAGTCTGTTTTGTGGCCAATACATTAGTCTATACATTCAGTAGCAAATATTAAAACATGCTTTTTTATGCAGCTTAATTGTATGTCCCACTATCTCTTGGCATATGTATTGATACTACATCTGATTTTAATTTTATACACTTCAAATAGTTCAGATGTGTGTGTGTGTGTGTGTGTGTGTGTGTGTGTGTGTGGTAAATTAGTCTGAACTTATGCGCAATTGGTGGATTTGTTGGCAATCACTTTCCATCAATAACAGGTGATGAAGGTGGAGAATATGTTGAAAATTAAGGAGGAATTTGATTACAAAAGTTTGTCTATAAGGCTTGAGATACAATTGGACAAACTCGTTGTGGATAACGAGAGGCAGTCTGCCTTAGGTTGTACACCTAATCTTCAGGATTTGAGTGGTATTGTCAAGTGGAGGGTGCCCCTGCTGGCCAAATCCAACCTTTCAGGTTTCTCTTACTCAAGGCATGATATTGTGCACAACCTAAGGCAGATATTATTCTGCTGTTAAGTGTGCTAGCCTTTGTATCTGTGTGCTGATTGTTCTGATCTTTCTGCTTAGTCTGCTTCTGTGCTGCTGGTTGTGTCTGCTTGCTCTGCTTTGTGCTGCTTCTTCTGCTCTGGTGTCTATTATTTTGTTATCTTGGTTCTGTTGATTGCAGCTTGGTTCTGTAGTTCTGTAGTTTTGCTGTGAACTGTTTGTCTTGTGGTTGTTGTTTTGGTGTTCTGTTGGTTGCAGCTTTTTTGTGTTGGAGTCTGTTGGTTGTTGGGTTGCTGGTTTGGGTAACACTGTCCCAGTGAGGGTCTGCTGGTCTTGCTGGTTGGGCAACTCTTGTTTTAGTCCTGGTTGTGCTGCTGTGCTGTGTAGTTACTTGTGTGTATCTGTTGGTCAGCTATGTAGTTGCTTGTGTGTATCTATTGGGTTGGTTGTGTTGCTGTGCTTTTGTGTATCTGTTGGTTCCTCACCAACTGATACCTAGTTTGGTGCTTTGCATCATTCCCCCTCCTGCCCCCTCTTTACTTCCCCTTTATTGATGCCTTTTTTCCTTTCTTGTAAGGTTTTCTTTCATCAATAAAGTTTTTGGTTGAAACCCCCCAAAGAGAGGCAGCAGAAAGCTTTTGAGGATGAAATTGAAAGAATTACTTTAGAAGCACAAAGTCGTATCTCTGAAGCTGAAAAAACCTTTGCAGACGCATTAGAGGTTAGTTGGAGTATTTATTTCCTGCCCATAAAATGCACCGTTTCCACACTATACCAACACTTGTATATTTCACCTAGATTGAACTCTCATTATTTTATTTATTCTATTATGTTTTCCCTATACCAACATTTTTGGTTAATCGTTCCGTTTTGAGTTTTCTCAATGATGCCACTTAAAATTTCACCTTTGTTCGTAGAGAGAGAGAGAACTGCAGATGGATTATATGGAATCAATTAAAAAGCTCGAAGAAAAGTGGGTGCTGAATCAACAAAAGCATGGCAATAATAGCTTCATAAACGGCACATATAATGGAGAGGTAGCCAACAGTTGAACTGTGTCTTGTATTATGTATTGGTAATTTCAGCCTGTCCTCTCAAGCTACTGCTTCCTTGTCATTTTAAAATAATATTGGAGTTTTGCATTGTCCAGTCCAGTGTCAACGAGAGTGATTATATATCTTTAATGGTTCTATTTATCAACAAAATATATCTTTAATGGTTGCATCTACTGTGTTGATGTGAATGGGGACCACAGAAATTCATAGTTCCTAAGTGTTTGTCCATTTACTTTTTTCCATTTTTAAGGGACTATGTTCTGTATGTCATTATTGTTTTGCACGAACATATTGATTTGCATGTTAAGGTGCCAACACAAAAGGTTGAAGGAGATATTATTTTGTGTTGGCTGGTTGTTTTTGGAACCAAAACTCAATTATATTGTCAAAATTTTCTTGTGGAATATATTAAGAGCTGTTAGCCTCAGTATTTTACCCTGTAAAGCATATCAAATTAGGTTGAACGCGGAACAAATTTTCTTTTTGGAAAGTTTCGTATGAGGTATGTAAAAGGGAAAATACTCCATTTCATGTTATGCTAGAGGTATTTAATGTTAAGACATTTGAAAGGGTGTGATCAGTCGGATTTTATTTTTTGTAAGATTGGAACAATCTCTACAAATAGTTAATTTATTCATATGCTTCTAGCGGTTTCTGAATTAATTTGTGTTTCATTTTTTAGGTCAAAAATTTCTCGAAGAGATACAAAATATAGTCAAAGAATTCAAAAACTTAGTTTTATAAGTTTTTTTTCATTTTTTAATATATGTAAGCACAGTTTAAAACTTTTTATTTAATTCCTTTGTATACACTTTTGAACATCTTTAACTTTCATTTATGAAATATATGACGTTATTCCATTCAATATATGGTTGTGATTCAAAATATAATATATAGTGTGTATTACATTCTTCGAATGCACGTACAAAAATAATATTGATTATTCTTCAAATATGTTAAATTCTTTTTTTATCACAGGTTTTATTAATTATTGATCACACTTAAAAGATGTGATCTAAATATTATTAATTACACTTAAAAGATGTGATCTAAATGTTTTTAATCACGCTTAAAAAATGTGATTTAAATATTATTAATCACGCTTAAAAGATGTGATGAAATCATTTTTTAATGACACTTAAAATGTGTGATTAAAAATGACTCCTTTTAATTATATCCCCAAAGATCACACTTTAATAAAATTTAAAAAGTGTGATTAAAAAATATACATCACACAAAAAAACGTAATCTTTATCTGTATTTGTAATAGTGCGTTTAGTAAACAAACCAAGCTCAAATAAACTTGGCTTGTCAAGATTAATTCATTTGTCTTTATTTAAATTATATAATAAATGTATTGTTTATATATTAAATAATATGTAAATAATAGCATAAATATTATTTATGTATTAACTAATATAAATAGTACCAAAAAAAATCTTATTAAGTCGAGTCGAGCCAAACTTAAGTTTTAATAATATTAACATGCCGAGCTGAGTTCGAATTTAATAAACTAGCTCGATAAGCAAACGAGTCAAACTTAGCAAAATTCAGTTCAACTCTGCTCGATTACAGTCCTATATTTCACATATATTTCTTAAACTTTTTGGATAAAATAATACATTTTTCACATATTTCAGTACATATTTTATTTGTTTATTTTCTAATCTTGCCCAACGCCTTGAGAGTCGTGGTTAGCATTCTCCAAAAGGTAAATTAGCCTATTTTGTTGCGCTCTTTAACAGGCTAATTTTTCAAACATTTTAAATGATCCAAATTATTTATTTTTTAAGATTTGTTGGAAAAAATATTTATATAAAAAATTAGATTAATCAAATGTCAGTAATAAGATGATAGAATTACATTTGTCTAGAAAAAAAGAAGATAATATCTATATCTATCTATATATTATATAAGCAAAATGAGATATTTAGTGAGAAGACTTGTGAGAGTTTCAATACTCATACTAATTTTTTTAATTTTAAACAATTAAAAAAATCTCTATTGGTCAGTTTTTATTTAACTATATAAAAATAAAACTGTAATTAGTCTATCACTTATTTGATAATTTCACATCGAAAAAAGAAAAAAAAAAACGAGTTATTTCATTTATATAAAGTAAATTTTATACTCTCATCTATCTATCTATACTATATATATAATAAAATGTAGTGGTTTTGTCAAAAATCTGTAAATATTTATTTCTAAATTTTCATAATTTTAAAATTCTCTCTTTCCTACATGGCAACCCTCTTTGATTGTCTTTCGTGTTTTCTATTTTCCTCCATTTTCTATTTGTTTGATTAATTAAAATGAAAATTAATCTCATGGCTTATAGATAAAGATATGAATTTCAAAATTCCTCCATATAGATAAACATATAAAAGCTGATAAATAATTTATGAAAATTAATTTCATGGTATACAAATAAAGATAAAAATTAAATAATTAATTTCATAACTTATAGATAATTTAAAATTTCTTCCCATAAATAAGCATATAAAAATTGATAAATAATTTATAAAAATTAATTTCATGGTCTACAGATAAAGATAAAAATTAAATAACTAATTTAAAAAAATTAATTTCACAACTTATAGATAATTTAAAATTTCAATCAAATGTAGTTGTATTGGCAAAAGTCTCTAAATATTCATTATTAAATTCAGATAATTTTAAAACTCTCTATTTCCTACGTGGCAACCCTCTTTAATTGTCTTTCATGTTTTTTATTTTCCTCCATTTTTTATTTGTTTGATTAATTAAAATGAAAATTAATTTCATGGCAAATATTTGAATTTCAAAATTCCTCCATATAGATAAACATATAAAAACTGATAAAT